CCACTGTTTTTCATATTTTGTAGGAATTTAATAAATTTTCGATTAACAAACTCAGCGATTGAAAAGATAAGCAGTGCTGCCACTTTTTAATATTTTTTGTATTTAGCCCGCCAGACTTTTGCCATTCGGCAAAATGTAATATATTTATCTCTTACTTTAAATCAATAAATTCGACTATTTAAAAGCAATAAACTGCCATTGTCAGAAATGAAATATTTTTACCTTCCATGCGCCAACTCGTTGCCATTCAGCAAACCATAAGACTAACTTTTCTTAATCTGTCGGTTTTTGATTGCTAAGTCAAACGAGTTTAAAATAATAAACGCAGTTCTTATGCATATTTTTTCTAGCTTTTAATCCGATTGATTTAAATAAAAATGAATTTAAATTGTATGAATCAAATAATCATATAATTTAATCATATAATCAAATAAATATTGTTATAACTTACACAAGCTAGACTCGTTAAAATTATTACATAATTATTATTTTAGGCCCATATTTATTATTTAATAATTAGTCGCGCAAGCGACTAGTTAGTAAAAAGCTGAATAGGCTGGATCAAGAGAAAGTTCGAATGCTAGAGTTCTTAAACTAAAATGATTCCTCAAAGATCAGTCCCGCAATTTGCCATCTACATCCACATTACTTGAAGTAGAAATATGCTGGAAACAGTAAGCCACATAGATAGGAATCGTTTATTACTTGACAACAAATTCACTTTTAAAACTCAGAAATTAATTTAATGTTCCCACTGCTAAGTTGAAACTTTTTCTCGGGACACTTAGCAGTTTTCCTCTTCATAATAAAAAAAAGAAAAGAAAATCTGAGAGTTTTCAGATTTTAAATTACTTCCAAAGGGGCGTTTTTTTTTTTTTTAACGTTTTGTGTGTTACCTTTATTTATTAAGTATCATATTCTATGTACTCAAACTATAAAATACAGTTCAACAACAATATCGCCAAATAATTTTAAAATGAGCATACCTTTAGAATTTCTGATACAGTCTCGCGCGTTGGAGATTAAATTTTTTTTCCCCTCCGTACAGTGTTGCCATTGCTCGCTTTGAAATCATTTAATTTGTTAATCAAAAATTCGTTGAAGTGTTACAAAATATGAAATCGATAATAAAACAAATTTCAAATTCAAATTAGGGCTTCCACATGCCCATATTATATGGAGGATTACGTTATTCAAATTTTGATGGCTCTAGGTACCGTTGTTTTATCACAATGCGAGAAACACACATACATTTATGCAGATTCATCATTATTTAATTTCTTTAAATATAATACAGGGCGATAATATTTGGTGGCAACAATTGAAAAGTGAAACAACGCCTATCATGAATCGACGCAAAAATGCCAAACCGAAATTAATAGTCCTTCTGGGTAAATTGCCCGTTTGGACTAATAATATTATGTAAGTCAATAATCCATCCAGCCTAACTCCTTTCCCATATGAGGAAATGCTGCTAAAATAAATTTCTTTTAAGTCCAAATTCCGAAACATAAAGCCTGTAGGGAAAAAGCTATTGCTGCTTGGTTTATAAGGAATAACACATTACATACTGACTTAAAAATCTAAAACATCAGAAAGCATATTTCCAAAACTTTTCAGAGTTTATACTACTGTATCAAACGTCATTAAAGCACTATAATTTAATTCAGGTTCCTGAAATATGGCCCTAAGAAAAGTACGCGGAGCCAGCTTTTAATCTTCTTACAATTAGCCTCATTTTAAGATCGCTCTTTTCTGTCCTCCTACAACGAAAAGTTTAAATGTTCTTGATTAACATTTCGCTATTGATTATTACACTTGATCCTCTTGCTGTCTGTAATGGAGCAGATGGTTCAAAATACCACTATATGTCCTTATACAAATTAAAAGCTCCATTTAAATGTTTTCAAAGTGCCCTATAAGCATAAGTGTTTCTGTGAATATTTAATATAAATGCATTTTTGATTTTCTTAGTTTTTTTAAAGAAAATTTAGCATTCTCTGCTAAATGTTTATCTACACATATTCTGGAGATTATTCTTCCTCTTTACATTTCCTTTATTTTAATAGCTTATGGAAAATTGTGTGAAATATTCCTTATCAAATTATGTTTTGAAAATAAATTTCAAGATATAAAAGTTTTAATTTTGTGCGATGTTTTTTTTTAGACCAAAGGCACAATTTGCCCAGAAGACTTATTAATTTCGTTTTGGCATTTTGCATTGGTTCACGATAAATATCGGTTCACTTTTCAAATTGTTGCCACCAAATATTCGAGCCCTGTATTATATTTAAAGAAATTAAATAATGAAGAATCTGCGTTAAATGTATGTATATTGTAATAACACAACGGTACCTACGGCCATCCAATTTTGAATTTGTTTCCACCCGAATATGGGCATCTATAAGCCCTAATTTGTAATTTGTATTATTATCTATTTTATATTTTGTAAAACTTTAACGAATTTTTGATAAACAAACTCAACGATTTCAAAGCGAGCAATGGCAGCACTGTACGAAAATTATTATTATTATTATTATTATTATTTTTTTTTTTTTTTTATCTCCAGCGCGCAAGACTGGATTGGGATCAGAAATTCTTAAGATATGCTCATTTTAAAATTATTTTGCGATATTGCTGTTGAACTGAATTTTATGGTTTAAGTGCTAAGAACATGATATTTAATAAATAGAGGTAACGCACAAAATGTTAAAAAAATGCCCCTTCTTCCCATTCAGGAAACGATAGTTTTCAGATTTAAATGCGTGTGTTTGCTGTAGAACCTGTGAAGTGCTTTTCGTCGTCTGTTAAATACACTTGTACCAAAACAAACTTTACAGCCTTTCCTTTGCTATGCAAAAAGAGCTCTCTTAAAGCCGGAACGAGTGAAGATGTATTACTATTAATCTGCAGGGTGAAGAGTTTTGAACATCAGAATGGTTTTTAAAAAATCACTGACCACATTTAATTATATTAAAAATATTTCTAAAAGAAAGAATGATGCCAAATACACAGATCATATAAATCGAATAATAACGTATGTCGAAAATAAAATAGTTTTTCTTTCCAAAAACAGGAAAAGAGCAGGCACGTTGGAAGGCTCAGAGATGTTGGGATTAAGGATATTGCGTTTAGCTGAGCTGTCGGAGATTTGGTAGAGGCAGATAAAGCGATTATAGACTCTGAGAAATTAGATGCTGATCATGTGTTAACATCTAATATCGTTTTTTGGTGCTGAAATTTTCGCATTATTTTTTTTTTCCATTTTACAATTATCTTTAGGCAATCAAATCATACTGTAAAACTGTTATAAAAAATATGCTATTTCGTATTTTCTGTAACGTTCTACGAAACAAATTCTGAAAATTATTTACTGAAAAATAGAAAACAAAATTCTTTTCAGATTTTTTTTTTTTTTTTTTTCGTTAACGAACCAAAATAAAAATGTTAATAATTTAGATTTTCGTTATAGCATTACACGATTTTAACAAACCTCGCGGATCAAATAACTAGGAACATTTTCTTTTCGGTGTTCTTCTGAAGTCCACATTAACTGTGTTTTGGAATATCAGATATTTCTAGCTTTTTTGTTCATTTCTCGAGACACTGTTCGTCATTCAAGACATTTTTCATTTGCAAAATGTGTTTGTGTTGTTGTTGTTGTTAATGCTCACTTGTCTCACCTATAATCAGTCCAAGCCCACGAAATTCCTCGTGGCAAGAAGCGCAAGTTTACGCATGTCGTTGACAATGACGACATGAGTAAGCACCTTACAGCACCTTGAGCACCTTACAGGTGGCAGTGCGATTTAGCTGAGTTCTGCTTCCAATTTTGATGTTGAGAACCCCGTGGGGGAAGCGGATCTTAGGGTCTTTCACCTCCCTCTTTCCCTACCACAACCTCTCGCGAGGACTTTCGGCTCGCCGCATATTTAGAGTGCTCCAAAGTCGTACGGAGCTATCCAATTACAAACATATATGCCTTCTCCGGGTTCAGAACCCCGGCGCTTCGGCACGGAAGTCAGCGACGCTAAACATTATACCGGTTGCGCGGCATGTGTTTGTGAACCAAGGTTCTACCGTACATTTTGATTCAGACTTTATAGAAAATCCTGTATATTTTGAGAAAGATGGACTTTTTTCAAAATAATCTGTTTGAAATAGGTTTGAAATCTATAATTTATTTATCATTAATACCATTATTTTCGTTTATTTTTAATTTACTCCCTTTGTTATTACTTATTTAATTTGTTTCATCTATTTGAATTCCATACTTCTGGCACACGCGGTAGAATATTTCTGTTCCCTGAAGAAAAGACAGTCTTAGCAACCTTCTCAAAATATGTATAGAATTTCTGTAAAACTTATATAGCATATATTCTCACTCTTTTCTGCACGCCTTCGAGGTGTAACGGTCAGCACACTCGGCACGTATTCGAGAGGTCCAGGTTCGAGTCGCGGCAATAGTATTGCTCATTTTTCCTGTCTCCTGTTTCAAAATAACCTCGACAGTGCTGCCCGAACTAAAAGATGGTGGATGATGATTCTTCACCACCAGGATTTGGTGACTGTGTCCCCTAATCCTCCAATCACCCTTTAAAAGGGGAAGTATACAAGGTACATTCTCCCTCCCTTCTGCATGCCTTGTGGTGTAACGGTGGGCACACTCGGAACGTATTTGAAAGGTCCAGGTTCGAGTCCCGGGGATAATATTGCTTATTTTTTATGTGTCCTTCTTCAAAATAGTCTCTGCAACTGTAGCATGTCTAAGGAAGAATAGTATTAAATTTTAAGTAATTATCAACATTAGTTACTAAGTTTTATATTCTGTCTAAACTAAGGATCATGACCATCACGTTGTGCATAATCAATTCTGCACACGAATGGAAGGAATAAAAATAATATTTTTTATACCTCAATCGCCAACGAATTGATAGGGTTCGCTCATGCTCTGCTTGAAAGAGGAATTGATCGATCTCTAGAAAGATCGGAGCATGCGTATCTGTGTCCAAGCACCAGTTCCATCCGTGGAGCGTGGGAGTCGAGAGTCTCTGCACCAGGTATTGTAACCAGCTGTTCGTCCGCATAGACGTCATAAGCTATTTCTCTTGTCATCAGGCAACTTCCCCGCAGGCCTTGCAACTCGAGGTAAGACCATCCTCTTCCAAGCTGTCTTTCTGTTCACCACTCGCTGTTCAGTTGTAGTCGAGTGACAGATGCTGAGATCTATTAGTAGATTCGAACTTCGGTATTACATCTCTTGTTGCTTACCAAACGAGAGGTCTTCTGAACTAGCGTTTGAAAAAAAGTAGAGATTTTCGTGTTAAATTTTCGTGATAAATATTTTCGTGTTAAATTCAAAAAGGAGAGAAAAAAGAAATATTTTATTTACTTATTAGTCTTTGTTACAAAATAGTCAACGATTCAATTTTTGTTATTAAAAATAAAACATTCTACCCATCTACATTCTTCTAATTCTATTCATTCTATTCTTCTGTTCTGTCTGTACATAAAATATCGAGATCGGGTTTCTTTAGTTCATTCAGAGATGAAAATTATGTAATATTTATAGTAATTCTAGATCTTTATCTCTTAAATGGTGATTTTGGGCGGGGCTTCGTTCTTAGTTTCGCAATCAAATTCAAAAAATGGAAGAATTATTATTAGCTCAAAGGGCGTTAGCCCAGAAGGGCTATTAATTTCAAAACGGCAATTTGCGTCGATTCACTTTTCAAACGGTTGCCACCAAATATCATCGCCATGTGTTATATTTAAAAAAACTAAATAATGAAGAATTTGCATGAATGTATGAATGTTTCTCGCATTGTGAAGAAACAACGGTACCTAGCGCCATCAAATTTTGAATAACGTAGTCCTCCAACAGAACATGGGCACTTAAAAGGTCGAATTTTGAATTTCGAATTAGTTTTATAATCTATTTAAAATTTTGTAAAAGTTTAACGAATTTTTGATTGACAAATTCAAGGATTTTAAAGGGAGCAATGCAACATTGTACGAAAAAAAATAAAAAAAATTTTATCCCCAGTACGCGAGACTGTGTATCGAAAATTCGAAACATATGCTCTTTTAAATATTTTGCGATACTGCTGTGGAATTGAATTTTATGTGTTTTAAGTGCGAAGAACATGATATTTCATAAATGAAGGTAACACACATAAAATCTGAAAACTTTCAGATTTTCCTTTCCCCCCCCCTTAAGCTTTCAGCTACATTCTGAAGTATTATATTATATTTCTCGCTTAAATTGGCAAATCTTTACCTATATTTGTGAAACGTCTCTCGCTTTTATTTTCTGAATTTGTTGAACAAATGTTTTGCAATGTTTGAAACAAAACTGCCAAAAGTGTTTAGTACCCTTCTTTAGACCGTTCATTTATTTGGCATAGCGGCTTATTTAAACCCCTGCTTATTTAGAGCACTTCGCTGATGCTTTATTTGAAACATTGTAAAATGTTGTAATTAATAGGCTTTTATTGTTTACTATAAATACATTCTAGATAATTGCAAACATATGATAGGAATGATTATTAGATTACTAAATGTCTTGAACTAACAGTTTATTCCAAAATAATTCAACGTACATTCAATGTTCCTACGTGGTTAGTATTTTATAAGTTCCATGTTAAGTCAAATTCAAATTTCAGATCAAAACTATTTAGGTGAATAAGACATAATTCCATCAGTTTTGTCTAATAATTGAAATTATTTAATGAATAAAAGTAAAATTACTTAAATTTACTCAAATGGCTCTATTAATTCGAGACGGTATTCCAATGAAAAATTTAAAAGAAAGTAAACAAATTTTATGAATTTAAAAGGAAGATTTTCAAACCCTTCCCATCTAATAACGATAAAGCTGTAGACATAACTTACGGAAAAATATAATTTAAAATTTATCGTTACAGACGACACAGAAAACATTTAATAAGTATGAAATGTTTGATCGCCAAAAACAAATTTTGAAACAAGTTTTGGCAGCACTTCGAAATTTTAGAAATCCACAAAACAGCGTCGCATCACCAAATACTGCGCAAATTCATATATTTTAATTGCTTATTCAAATTTTTGGAATTAATTTTTCAATATGTCTGAATATGCTTTAATACGCACGAACTAAATTTTTACTTTCTTCTAAATGAGTAAAATCGTTTGCAGTTTTTGCGACTTAAATTGGTTTATGTTGACAAAAAGAACTGATATCTTCTTTCATGAATGGTCTATATAGAGATGTTAGCTGAAAGCAAATGTGTTCTAATAAAAGCAAAAGAGAACTTAACAAATGAATAAAATATGAATGAATGAATACCATAAAAGAATTGATACATGTAAATTAATATTCTACATGCCTTTATTATTTTAGACCTTTTATTATTTTAGATTTTCGTTCCGACAATCGAAAATATGAGAAATTTTGAAAAACTACGAAGTGATGCTTAATTTAGTTTTGAAAACTATAAAATTTACAAGATAACTTGATTTACTGTGATTATATTAAACAAGAAGCGATAGCATTCCTTGTAGAGTTGGACTGAGTACTCCTTGTAGCGTCAACTTAGCCGGGACTCGAACTCTGGACGTTCGGACTGATAGCCGGACGTGCTTTCTAATTGCATTACGAAGGTAGGCGGTAAGAAGGGAGAAAATACCTTGTATCATGATTAATTATTAGATAGCAGTAAGTTTCATTAATTGAATTAGGATGACGAGAGTAGAAAGACCTAAGCAGAAATGAAATTTATATTTATTGTACTTTAACTTGGAATAGTTATTGTTGCATTTTAATTGTTTATGTTTTAAAGTAAATGTTAGTTCATATTTTTAGCCTTTGTAAGTTTTAAGTATGCTTAAGTAAATTTAATAATATTTTACATTTATATTTATGTTATTGTAAACTTAAATTTGCGTCTGATCGCTTTCTGTTGAAAAGCAGAAGTTTGTGAGATACATCGTACATCAAGCAGGAAATTTAATAGCAGATAAGAGTGAATCACAAAAATGGACAGGAGTCCATTTTTGTGAAGTATGAAGCCATTTCTTCCTGTAAAGAATCATACTTCCTGTAAGGAGTACTTCCTGTAAGAAGTATGAAGCCATTTCTTCCTGTAAAGAATTATGGCATTACTTTCGTCTATTTTTATGGTGCAACGGTTATGAAAACAATCCGGTTATTCGAAGATTCCGAGTTCGACCCCGGAAAAGTATGTTGTACATTTTATACTAATTTTTAGACATGAATTTTCTTCCCCACAGTTTAATTCAAATGATTTGCGTTCGCACCGTAAGTGTGATTCAGCCGGTTTTCTGCCGGTTTTCGGTAAGTTTTTAAATAAACTGATCTTGCTCGTGCAGATCCTGCAGCGTATTTTATGCTAACGGATTTGTTGCTTTGGTTTGGTTTATTAGATTACGGCAAAGCATTCGAGGGCTATTTGCCTTAAAGGAGGGATGCCTTCGTGGAGGACTTTTTAAGGGAAACTGGCTAGTATACACGTTACACATGGGGAAAACCACGAAAACACCCATGCAGCCAGCCCGTTCGCGGGATTCGAACCTCGGACCGAACTACCAGTGTTCAGCGACGTTACCGCTCGGCCGCTGGTGGGCCTGATTTGTTGCTTTGAAATATGCACTTCGAAGTTGTTTGTGTAATTATGGCAAAGCTTCGAGGGCTCGTATGTACGTTACATATGGGGAAAATCACGAAAACGCCTATGCAGCCAGCCCGTTCGCGGGATTCGAACGTCGAACCGAACTACCAGTGTTTAGCTACTTTACCGCTCGGCTGCTGGCAGACACGCACTCGGAAGCAGCTAACAATTTAAAAGTAATTTGTCTTCGTAAGAAAGTAATATAAGATTGCATAGATAAATAGATTTTAACAATTGAATTAAAGGAGTATCATCTGTATTTAAGGAAACCATGTTTTAGAAGAAATAACTTTATGCTGGAAAGAGGTAAGTTAGTAGAATACACTATGCTGTTTTCCCTTTCTTTATTCTTTTTCTTTTCTTTTTTTTAAACCTAAAATTTTCTTTCCCTATGGAAATGTATGGGAAGATACTGTTAAACTTGTATTTATTTAAAATTTCAGAGAATTTCAAATGACTAAAATACTTAAAACTCTGTCTTTGGAAAATGAGATTTCAAATGTTATGTTCTAAAAGACTTTGTCTTTGGAAAATGAGATTTCAAATATTATGTTAAGACTAGACTTTGTCTTTCGAAAATGAGATTTCAAATGTTATATTCTAAAAGACTTTTAGGCATAGTCCTTGGAAAATGAGATTTCAAATGTTATGTTTTAAAAGACTTTGTCTTTGTAAAATGAGATTTCAAATGTTATGTTCTAAAAGACTTTAGACATAGTCTTTGGAAAATGAGATTTCAAATGTTATATTCTAAAAGACTTTTAGACATAGTCTTTGGAAAATGAGATTTCAAATGTTATGTTCTAAAAGACTTTAGACTTAGTCTTTGGAAAATGAGTGAATTATCTTTCTTTTCCCTACTAAAATTAACTTTCGTGCGCCATTGTATAGAGATTCATTTCTAGGCTTTCGTATTCATATTACATTGCCTAGAGCAAATTAAAATTGAAGAAATGTAGAAATTTTTTAGAGCTTGCTAACAAATATCGTAAATATGCAACACATCTACGGCATTTTTCTCTCAAGCAATTGTTAGATCTAATTTTACTGAAATTAATCCAGTTCTAAACTGCATACATATGCACAATAATTTCAAATTTCTTTCATCTCTGGCCTGCTGATTTCAGCCTTAGGTGTTCTCTTATGACATATTCTTCTGCAGTAAGATCTCGACATATACATTTATTTATGAAAATTTACTAATTTTAAATTTAAAACCTTAATTTAAAAGTTATTATTTAAAAATCTATTTCATCGAGATTATACTTGTATTGATAGAATAGTTGCGCCATGTTTCCACCCGTCATCAGCTGGAAAAAAAGTGGAAAAAGAATTTAGAAATTACTTCAAGAAATGTTACGAAAAATAAGGCAAGGAGATTTGAACCAAATAGTTTTAGAAATCTGTTTAAAAATGGAAACAGGTTATAACTACATTAGAATGAAAAAAGCCATGTCTGCAAATAATGTTTTAATAAAA